CAGCTTCGTTCATTTATTCAACGTTACCTCCTCCTCCACCTCCTTCTCCTCCCTGCACTTTTTTTCATTTTCGCGAAAGTTATTCAACTGCTTAGTTATTAACATTTAACAACAGGCTGTTCAACTCCGACAACGAGAACTTTGTAGAATTTCTGAACCTCTCTGGGATTTCTATCTACAACTGCCTTCTTTTAAACTCATTCTCCAAAGCAGGCATGTCTGGTTGAAATCTTCCTCCCAGCAAGTCAAATAGACCTTAATCGGGAATCCTCGACGGTCATATGATCTTGCAGCCGCGTCCGACGACAGTTTTGATTTCTGGTGACAATTTTCGATTCCTTGTTCACAGTTCCATTCTTTGCCTGATATAGAATTATGAATTCTTTCTGCATGATTATTCAAAACTGTTCAAGACTGCCGCCTTTGCTTGATCTTATTCAGCCCAGTGCATTGCATTACAGTGCATTCCTAGAAACGCCGTATAGCGCTAACACGAAGATTCTCCATTTAATGCCGAATTTCATTTCAGTATGCTAATACAACTGTGGTAATATCAGGTACCAATCCACAGTCTATACCTAGTCTTCGATACTTTCAGTAAGTTTCAGAAGTTCATCCTTACTCCGTCCTGCCTGCCAAATAGCTAACTATTCGCTGATTATCAGGAGTTTCAGTGAAGACGTTTTGATGTTGTCGACAGGATTCACCGAAATTGGCGCTCTTAACTGGCACCTAGGGATATGTGTGGTGCTGTCGTGGGTAGCTGTGTTTCTCTGCCTTTTTCAAGGCGTGAAGTCAAGCGGAAAGGTGAAGCATTTTTCTGAATTAAGTTTTTTTTGTTACCACGACATGTCAAATAATATCAATTTAGGTTGTTTATGTAGTGGTAGTTCTGCCGTTCATAATAATGATCGTATTACTCGCCCGATTGTTGACCCTTGAAGGATCATTTGCTGCTCTCACGCACTTTCTCCGTCCTGATTGGAGAGTGCTCAAAGACCTTACGGTACAGTGTTCTCTGATTCTTTAAGCCGCGTTCATGCTTTGCG